AGATCACAGAAAGGGTCAGAGGGAATTTACTTGTCTAAGGTCACGGGTGAAAGGGACGAGACGATCGAAAACGATGGAGCAATCGCACTGTACATATTAATATTCACTTTTTCGTCTCCTGATTACTATTTCTTATATGAGGGCGTTAGTGCTACTCATGAGTAGTCAGGATATAATTGCGAATTTTAGCCAGGGGTATACGAATCAGGTCCGTTAAGGAGCAGCGGGACTACGCCGAAAAGGCAGAGGTTGACCGTTTATGCCGACGCCCACATGTTTGACATCATGAAAACTTTTGCTCAAATACAATATTTTTCATTGATTAAATTTATTTTTTGTCATATTAAGCAATACTTTCGGTTCCTGTAGATGTTATATAAATGTCGAACATAGGCACCTTTGCTTTCACCTGTTACGTTGAAGGCATAACTGGCCGTTCTAACTTGCACTGAACCGAACTGAAGATTTACATGCATGCAGCTTCTCGGACCTCTTCCAAAAGAAAAGTTGTGTGCGGGCACAATGCACGTGTTATTAATTGCGATGGGCGTCTGGCAAATGTAACAGCCCAGTGGCGATGGTAGTTCCAACTGTCCAGATCCCGGTTGGAAACGAATACAAAGATGCAACCACACAACTGATGTTCTGAGTGATAACGGATCATAATCATTATATTTTGAAGCGGCCAACGGGGAAGTAGTAGCAATTGTCAATAATGACGCTGCGTCCAAAAGGTGGTTGGGCCCAGCCGGGATTCGAACCCGGGACCACTCGCACCCAAAGCGAGTATCATACCCCTAGACCACTAGGCCACGAAGAGAGCCGACGTTCAATAATTGGGATAATCAGTTCATTAAACAATGACGATAACCACCACTATTACGATTAGTTTTACACGCACTAGTCAATAGTTCACAGAAAATACAGAAACAGTGAAAACTTTGAACAATGACCACTTACTGACATCTATGCATTCATGCATGATTGAAGTATCAGCAACGATCAATGTTCTTACGAGCACCTAATAAATAAAATGTGGACTATGAATGTTCACTTGTTATTCATCAAATTGCTTGACGCTTAAACGAATCGATGCGGTTTCTGAAGGAACTTGGTAAAAAACAACAGGGAAAGCCGTAATATTAGGACAAATTGAACTCCTCCGCTTCCATCCCGGAAAATCTGACAATAGTAGGGGACAAAACAAATAAAAACCTACCACACCAGGAAACAGCCGCTTCAAATTCTCTATCAATTCCTGTTTTTTCGCCGCACGCGAGGACTCGTGTCGTTCGACTTTGGCCTCGCCCAGTTGGCAAACGACTGCCTCCAATTCCGTGTTGATCTCGTCAATCCGTTTGGTTGCTTGCTCTACTTCTTCGCGAATGGCTTTTTCCGTCTCGCGTTGTTCCGTAATTGATCGATTGCTCGATCTGGTTTGGGTAGAGCGGAGAAGCAAATAGGCATCAGATTTTAGTGCGGGTCCCGACGATGTATTCATCTAATTTGTTATACAAAATTATATACGCCTGTTTACCGCAGATTTCCCGAGATTGGTTATCATCCGGGGAAGTAATAGAGTGTCACGCCTGTCTGGCGACAATGAGTTAGTTTTGTATAGCAACCAATGAATGAACAAAGTCGAAAGAGACTGTAAGAAGACCACATGGAAGAAGTGAATGAATAAAAGATATCCGCGAGAAACTGTTATTTCCGTATTTTGTTTTCAACTTTTATCTATTCACCATTGTACTTTAATACCAATAAGCATGGAAAAATAAGGGGTTGTTGCAATAAAGTTCACGTAATAATTCGTAGCCACCAGAGAATGAAAACACCGGAATGAGCTCAAATATCAACTATTCATTAAGTGTTCTTAGAAGTGCTTGATACGATGCAGACAGGCTAGCTTTCAGAAAGCAGGCTAGAATTCTTTTCCAAACTCACAGAATTTGCGGAGTTTTTTTAATCTAAAAAGATATCCACCAGACTAAACAAAAATATCCGCAACAAATCCTGGACTGGACTCTTCAAAAACATATGTGGCAACGAGTTTCAGAGATTTTGGCAAAACCATTTACCCCATTTGTGCTACATGCAAAGTGTCATTCCACAGAATTCATACCGCAAGTCAGCAGGGCAACTTGCTTCCAATGGTATAGATCTCAACCAGTACCCGGATCGTTCTTCCACTACTTCGTCGCAGTTCAGTTTGGTTCGACGGGTTCGAGGTTAAAACTAACACAAGAAGTCCGTCGGACACATTATTGTATTTAAAAAATTGACCAACAAAATGTGTAGCTCTGAGATATTCAAAAGCACATCAGTCGATGATGACGCTAGAGCTATTGCGCTTGTTATTTGATTGTTTGAATTGAGCGAATTAATCGCAACAGATTGGAATATCTTCATCTTGCTTTCGGTAATCCTCAAAAGATGACAAGACGGTGGAGCCTTACTTATGTGGTTCATCACTTCAAGGTCCGGAGCCAGCTTCGATGACTGAATAGTAGGTCCTTGTAGCCATGGGGTTTGAATTGTTTGTTGTTCATCATACAAATCTATAACATAAAACTACAGAGAGGATATTTGTTGTGCCAGTAGCCTGTTGGGTTCGCGGTTACGCCCTGACAGTTGCTACATCTATAAACTAGCATAAATTTATGGACACTATAACGCTCAGTCCACCGAAAAGCGACATGGAACGGTCAATATCTGCACTTTTCCAGCTTTTCCCCCATGACTTACAAACGTGGGTTTGTGAGAACCCTATTTCATCGGGAGAGAAACATTTGTTCTCCAGATACACTGAAGGAAGAAGATTTCCTAAGGAGAACATTGCTAAACAATGGTTACCCGGAAAGGTTTATAGATATTCACAGTAGACCAATTCCAAAAGGTAACCCATCCCAAAACGTCGGTAAAAAGGCCATCTACATCAGGCTTGCGTTTAAAGGTGATCACATTTACAATGATTTGCGCCAGAAGTTGACGTTAGCTCTAGACCGTACATTCCCAGCTGCTCAACTCAGACCCATCGCCTCCACTCGTGGAATCGAATTGGACAAACGTAAACACGGCTGGCAAACCAGTTCCGNTCACACACTGTATACCAGTTCACCTGCAGTTGCGGTGACGCATACATAAGCAGAACAAACCGTCAGCTGTCACAACGGATGGCCAAACATATTCCAAAGTGGTTGGTGAAATCGATGACGCTACCGACAAATGATGGCCAAGTGATTGCAAGAAATCCAGAATCATCTGTTGCAAAACATCTCATGGCAACAAGACACACAGTTGACCCCAATTCGTCTTTCAAACCACTATTACGTAATCGAAATGCTAAACTTTTGACGATTAGTGAAGCATTGCTTATTCGACTATATCACCCGACCCTGTGCGCACAAAGTTTTTGATACAAGCAATCCGCTTACCGTGGAGTTGACCTTCTACTTCTAAATTTAGTAACCTTTGTATGCTTGTACACGTTTGTTCACCAAAATTGCTTAATCCCGTGTGTCATATATGTGCCTGTTTGTTTTAAGTCAGCGACTGAGAAGATTAAACGAAATGTTAACATCTCGCGACATTTGTCTTCTTTCTGTTTTGATGAAATGGATAAAGGGAACTCAATGTTTCAAAGGACAGTAAGATATCGGTTGAGAAGAAAATACTTTATTCCTGTTTCCTCAGTGACTGGGAGCTGTGATTGAACTCAAATTCCAAAGTGCCAGTAGGCAAATTCAAGTTGCTATCGACGAAGGCCGCGACAACTTACTCTATATACTCCTGCAGCTTCTGCAAACGTTTCTTGTTTTCGTTCAGTTCCGTTTCTTTGCGCTTCATGGAGCTCTCGATTTCATTTTTGCGACGATCTAACGCATCATACAGATCCTTTTGTTCGTTGTATTCCCGATTTAGCCCATCCAGCACAGCGGACAGATGTGAAGTGCGTTCCGCCACTTTTTGCTTCAGACGATGGTATTCACTTAACTGTAAAAAACAATACATGGAGAGAGCGAGAGGGAGAATAATGATTTTATCGTAGCTCGGAAATCTATGGAGCATGATGATAGTAATAATAAGGGGGTATCTGATAGACGTAGCACATTGGAGTTGGTGGACTGTAGTGTCCTTGGGGCATCTCTTTGTTTTTCAATTTCCATTACTTACCCACCATTCGCCTGTGATTCCAAGAAGGCTGAGGTAGCTCAAGGTAACCATGCACCAGGAGGCTGTTGCTTTGCAGTCCGCAGTTATCTGTACAAGTGCTAGGAGATGAGTCCTCGAAATTAAGCTAGGGATGTCTCTAATATCCAACTTCCGTGAAACTTCATGGACAGTTATGACGCCGGCTTATACTTACAGGGAAGTTAATCGTAGTTAACTAACGTAAGTGGTGGCAACCGTGTGGTTACGATTTTGAATACCTCATGATTTAAATAAAGTTTATATGATGATAGCATTCTGGTGTTTGGAGTCATACCCACTGGTGTGCTCCAAGATTCATGGTCCGCGATTTGAAAACTGCTACCGCAAGCAAACTCTGGTGGTAAACACTTTTGCAATGGCCTGACTCAATACTATGCCTATATTATGGAGGTCTTACTTGGGGTGTAACTTCAAATCTTAGGATCCAAGTTATTCATTATCGCGACTTAGTAGTAGGTCCTCGTGAATATTTTCATCACATAACGGTGCGGAAAAAGAAACAGCCTAGAAGTGATCAAAAAAGGGTGATCAATCTACTTTTGAAGGGGTATAAAAACGGACGCGAAACAACCACTAAATCTAGGTAAAATGACGTAAAACTTTGTTTGTAGGTTAGGTTATAATACATTCTGGCGAATCCAAAATGTCTACCCGATACCACGTAAATCACGCCTCATTAAGAGCAAGCCATTGAAAAAATTGATTTTGCAATATCACATCACAGGAAACTATCCCTATGACATCTCGTACAGCTAATTGACACACATACACACTGAGAATTCCATGAAGGACGAAATATCCGTGGCTTCTCACAAACAAAAATTACTCAATTTGGTATTCCCAAGATTGCATAGGTCAAGTTCGTTGTGGTCTGCATTTATTCATCCCGTCACCCAGAAGATTCCAACCCCCAATAAAGCCATTTCGTTTTCTCATGTCCTTGTATCCGACATCGATCGACCTTTTGGTTTGCACTTCGATTTCGGTCAGAATCGGATGCGAAATGGTTTATGTTAGCACCATCAACAAAGTCAGAATAATGCGAAAGTAACTGACCCAAAAAGGACAGTCTACATTTGAAAAAATAGTTTATCATTAAAACGCAACTCAATCTGCACAAATCCTGAATGTCAATAGCTTTTCGACGCAAACAATCATTTGTGACTCATTGCGATTTCCGATCTATTTGAAAATAAAATACATTGGGTACCAACCACTCAACGCCGCGATTCTCCTTTGTAATGTACGCGCCGAACAAAGCGGACAGGGGATCAAAACTCATCTACTTAAAAAACTGTGGTGCAACACAATTGTGCGCATAGTATGATCAGTCATTTTTCTCTCAATATAAACTGACTTGAGTTTCTTCCAGCTCCAAGTTAATGCCTTGTTCCAATGACTTTTTCGTCTGTTGTTGCTCGTAATCACGTTTTAAACTTGATATTTTCTCATATTCCGATTCCAGTTGGTCGATTTCTTGAAGGTGACTACTGTGTAACTGTTTGGCATTTTCAAGTGACTTTCTACATTTGGAAACATTGAAACAAAAAGCAACAAGAACGTACTTGGACTCCTTGTGCTTTTCTGTAATATGGCGCAATAACTGAGAAACCTTGATGAATTCTGGCCTCCGTTTTCCAATTTTCTGCTCCTAGATTGAAAAACCGATATAAGTCAATGGAGCGATGACTTACACATTTCTTGATTTCCTGTTCCACGGACGATTGATCACGATTAATCTTTCCCAGTTCACGACGCTTTTCTTTCATTTCCTCTTCAATAGCCTGGCGTTGCTCATGTTCAGCAGCCAGCGCTTCTTCACGTTGTTTTAATTCCTCGCGCACCCGCTTTATTTCCAAGTCATTATAGTATAACTTGAACAAGTGCAACTCCACGCGCTTGTTAGTCTGAGGAAAACAAAAAATACCGAGAATGAAACTAGTGATAGAGATACACTCTTGACCAAACTTGCATTCATCCTGTAGTAAAGTCACGAAAGAAATTCTGCATGCTTTGCGACACCCGAAAATTTCAGAATCAAACAGTTCATCGTTATGATCGTACAGCAAAGTACGAGAATAAATTCATTCATCGCTGTCAGGTTAATAATATATACAAATTTGAATACGTATGTATGAGGTGAATGGAGATTGGTGGAAGGAGTAAACCTCGATAGTCAGTATGCGGAGCACTAGGTCTGACCGTGCCTCCAAAAGCCTCAGTATGGTCGGGGGTTGGGTGTCTAGGGTTGCGGCTGGTCACCCTGCCCTTGCACCTCACGAAATGCTCCCATACGACCAAGCGTCTCAAATAGCCTCTGCCGAGGAAGCCCTTCTCACTGCCTTCTCGCGACGGAGGTGTTTTCCCACCAAAGTCAGAACGAAAAGCCGATATCCGGGGCTATAGCCGAGTTGGTGGACCACTGGCAGTTCACCTAGGGGAGTTGATCAAAAACCCTGATTCCAAACCATGATTACTGTATCATGATTTTTTGTCACACAGTCTGTCTTCAGACAAGTGTGATATATATATATATATATATATATATATATGTCTGATCATGCATATACACTTTTAGACATTTCGGTCTGACAAGAAACGATAACAAGAACGCCACTGCTGTCTGTTCGCTGCCATATGTTTTAGTGTTTACTACCAACCTACCAACAACCTGGACATTTATATCATTTAATTTCTCAGGGCATTTTTTTCATGCTTCGTTTCTACATTATCTGTTGGTATCCACATGATTCTCTCCATGTTCTTAGACATGGACAACGTGTTCTAACCAGAGAAGACCAATTTGAAGTTGGTGTGATAATACATTTTCCACTGAGTCATGATTTACTAAGTGCTATTTATTTGCTTATTTTAACCTTCTGGAGCCAAACTACGGAAACATTGATAGCCTTCCACTCACGATATGGATGCGTTTTGATATGTGACGGTTCGCCTGTATGGCCTTGGTAATTAAACAGGACGATGTTCACAGCCACATACAAATGTGCCTGAAAAGGCAACGAGTAGAAGACAAAGCTGCTTCACAAGGCTTCCTTTGACTACCCACTTTTGCCCCTGGAGAGGTCACTGCAGCAAAAAAACACGATGAGCAATTAACCGGTTAAAAAGCCCGATAGCTAGACGTAGGAATGAGATGCTTGGGGCTTACTCCCGACAGTCAGTCTTCTTGCATCATCGGGACAGCTACCACCCGCCCAATCTAGACAGTCTCAGACACTCATTTGGAGACTATGTTTTCTCATGTCCGGCTCTTTCTTCCCCTCTCAANCCTCTCAAAACAAATGATGCTTCTTGTTTGTGTCGATTGCGATATATCACTTAAAGTGCAACTAATAAGATAGTCAAACCAAGGTTTCCTTTTTACGTAAAAGAATACAATGTTCATGCAGTGTCGGATTGATCACAAAGTCGCCTTAGCACACTAAAACCTCGAATTTAGATGTGCAGAGGTCTTTCTGAGACGGAAATAAATGGCTTGAGCTTAACTATCATTCAGTGTTCTTAAGATCCAACTTCATCCTCATCCTGTACTCGTAGTGTGCTGAGTACTGAATGAGGCATCCAAATTAGGTTGATGTGTAAGTAATCACCTAGATGATTAACGCAACTAACTCCGGAAAGAATGACTAAATTCCATCAGATAGGATCAATTAAAAATGGAGAATGACTGAAAATGCCATCCAGACATTTCGAGGGGCTCGGTCTCAAACATAATTGAAACATACCTGGCGTCTGTGCTCCAAGTATTGAATCTTTCAAACTGAGACTAGATGAAACATTAGCACACCTTACATTCCAACGTAAGTGAAGCTGCGCGCATCAGTGGAAGAAGCAAGTATCACATGACATTTTACACAAGGAATTGTATGTATCAATGTTTTTTAACCACCACACGAACCTATGGAACGAGAGAAGCCTGAGCTTGTAAGTTATTCCCATAATAACTCTTTGATCTTTGACAAAAATATTGCACACCCTTCCCCGCTGAACTTTATCCATTTAGGTCATTTTACAAATCCTACTAATTACGTGTGTTAATATTATTCCACTCCCTAATGAACAATGCCGCTAGTTCATGCTTTATGGTGTCGGTACAATTTTTCGGGTGACAATTGTCGAAATGATTTCTAATGGGTTCAAATCTGGGTGCACCTAGGCCGCGCCATTTATTTTATGCGGCTCAATGAATTAAGGCAATGCCATGCTGGGAAATAACATTAGGATGATTCTTAAATGCCACTGCTGGCATGAGGTGATGGTGGTGGCGCAATGGTTTAGTCACTGTTACTGGCGTGCTTTGGACCCTATGGTCCAGGATTCGAGGCCCGCCACCGCCACTCAACTTTAGTGGTAGACAGCTTAACTGTCGTCCGGCTCAATACCACGACTAACCTAGCGGGGCCTTATGTGGTTCGCCACTCCAAGTCCAGGAGCTTGGGTTGCCGGTTTTCATCAGCGGCAGGTCTTCGTGATTATAGGGTTCGCTTCGTCTGCTGTGCACCACACAAATGTGTGTAATAAGAAAGTGAGATTCCGCGAAACGTACGAGATGCACCAGAATGTTGCACCTCACGCAGTATAACTCGTTCGATTGGACCGTGTATTGTCTCCCCGTGCTATCGCGGAGTTTTGATCGTTAATCCGCTGACTGACTCACCACGGTGGCCCACTACCATGCCGGAGTACAAACTCGGGACGTTTATAGCACCCGCTTTAAAAACCAGTTGGGATAAGTGAAGTACGTTGGAGGTGCAGTACTTTTGTCGATATTTTCATTAAAATTAAATATACCTTGATGAAATTTCGTATTTCTGTCTTTCACTTGATTGCTGTCAAGATTCTCGAAAAATTTAGGTGAGACTGCAATACTTCTATCTCGAGGTGTATATTTAGTTTCCAAAAGCGAACAGCTTTATCAACACCGCAGGTACACACTTACTACCGTTAATCAATGTTGATGGAAGACAACGTAGGTGTCACTCAGCTCAATCTTATGTCTAAATGTTGGTCCTATAAAGATCTACATGATTGATTTCAAAGTTTAATTTTCTGTTAGCAAAAGAATCAATTCGTGGTTTTGGAGCTTTTTGTTCATGTGGACAGGGAGAAAACCTCGTTATTCGAGTCTACATTAACAAAGCTGACCACCATGTGAAGGAAAAACTGGTGCAGTGTAGAGCTGAAAAATTATCTTCATGCCCATCTAGAAGCCGCCAGTTTTTGTCTTTACATATTTGCATACTTGCTCGCACTGAACACACCTACACTAGTGGGGTCTTATGTGGTACGTCACTTCTGCAGTTTGTTTCTATCGCTGAACAGGCGTACGTGAATATGAGGTTCACATAGTCTACTGTGCACAATAAAAACCTACAGCGGAGGACAACGTAATCAAAAATGCAGCATTTCAGCTTACCAAATCTAGCTGTAATTTGCGATACCTCTCGGCTTCGTCGATCTCGATTTTTGCTTCTTTGCGTTCAGCAACAATACCTTTCTTTTTATTAAGATTGAAAGTAGCATTTTCTTCCAACTTGTGCATTTCAAGTTTGGCTTGATCGTACTCCTCCTTCAATTCCGCAGATCTGAAAACATGCACTATATTTAGAAGAACGAACTTGCTGATCTCCTCAAACATCTGACACCGTTCTCTAGCATTTTTCATGGCAATGCTTTCAACAGCACCTTGGAAGACTAGGAAATTTTTGACTTTCATGAAAATGTGAATCTTTTCTAAAGCAGTAGCGTATTCGTCAACACGCACAGCCTGAGATTAAAGCGTGGCACACGGTACTTACTGAGCCATTAATTCTATACTCTGACGTATTTCCATGGATGACGCGGCTAAAACGAATTTCTTCGCCGTCCGGCATTTCATAGACAGCGGTTACAGAGGCTGACTTGGCAACTGGCTTCCCGACAACTGAACCATGAATTAAATCCTAAAAAATCACTAAGAAAAAAGTAAACATACATTTAGCCTTCGAACACGGAGATGCCGTGTATTTTCGCCCAGCACGAAGCTGATGGCATCCATCAAATTTGATTTGCCTAGAAATTACCATATAAATCAACGAAGCGAAACCAGAAATACCTGAACCATTTGGGCCAATAATAGCAGTGAATGTACTGAAAGGGCCAATGATTTGGCGGCCTTTATAAGACTTGTAGTTCTCCAACTCAATATATTTCAATCGTCCACAAACCTCAGCCATTTTACCAATGTAAAATGCACCGCACGCCTACAAAACGCGCGCCGAAAAATATTTCAATTCAGTTCAGTTCAGTTCAGTTCAGTTCAGTTGCACAGGACGAATATGGCTCTTGCCAA